TAGGGTTAAGTACATGTTTAGTTCTCGAGAGATCGAGTTCCATACGACGAAGGAACGATCGGTCCCAACAATCTGTCTTGTTTGGTGGATCTTGCATGCCACGGTCGCCAGTAGAAAATCGAATTTACATAATTTTTGTTCCCAACAAAAAAATAAGATCCAAAGAGAGTTCACAGTAAGTTAAAAAAGTGTCGGGGAGATAATAACGTACAAATAAAAAAATTATCTTTATATGACTTACTGACATATGTCAATTATCACTATCAGGAGTATGAATTACTGGTGCATGTATTGCTTATTACAACTTTGGTCAGTAAACTTTAGGGTTAGAATTTAGAAGTCATGCGATTGCAAAAGCCAGAATCAAAGGGCTGAGAGCTAGATGCACTTGAAGTGACTTTATCGCATAAGAAATATGATTAAGAGAAGAAAAGCAAGATATTCTTCAACACAATGCAAAGAACTAGCAATAGAACTAGCATCGCCATGATAAGATTTCAATATGCAAATGTACTTTACAGATTACTTTTGAGAAGGAATTTGTTAATGAGTGTCATTGAGGTACTTCTTGTTACAACTATGTATTAACTATTATATAGCGAATCGTGTAATCAGTAGTATATTAAACCTTTGCTTTTACAGTACACGTAACAAGTGGTATAGAATACTCGTTAACGAGACTAAGGCCAAAAACGAACTCAACATGACTAGATACCCGATGAACTGGTTGAGAAATAGCCAAACCAGATTACTGAATTGATTTAACGATCGCTAAACTTGGCTTGGCAACTTAGCAAACTGTTTATCGTCTTCCACCTATAAACTGACACGCGATGACATGGTTGACACCTTTAATTTTGCACCAACCGTCAAAGAATCATTTAGTTTGACCTAAGGTTGATTGGAGGTTAATAAAGATTTAACTGATGAGATACAAAGCTCGAAAAACATAATTTGAACCTCAAAATGGTTTTTGCTCGCCAAATTGAGTATTTTATCACACATTTTGTTACTCGAATTTGACAATCGATTTTTTGTCCTTCAGAACCAGGCACCTTATTTTCATAGTATCGGGAAGTTTGTGAATTCTAGATTTTAGGGACCCCAAGAATTCCATCGCAAAAAAATTGGGCCGATTGGATGTCGGATGAGAAATTTTATTTGTCAAGATTTGAATTTTCCATACAATTTGAATCTTGAACAAATAAATTATTTAGCCTTAAATGATGTACACAATTTTTTTTGTAATCAGAATTCTCAGTATTGAAGATCCACCTCTACTTTTGTTATGTAGTCTCATGCAGTCCTTAAATAAATTTTTGGAACTGCTAATCTAAATGTCCCTGAATTCCGAACTTTACCAATCTATAAAATGTTTTGGAGGTTAGCCTAAACTCAGTAGATGATAGGAGATCTACTCATCCTCAATCTAATTTCATGTGATCATTATCTTGTTATTCGATCATCTGGTTTGCCATGTCACATAGAATGTGATTATTGTCATATTATTTGTTTTCATGTTTACCATTGTCATGTCGCTAGAAATTATTATTATATCATGTTGCTTGTGATTATTGTCATATTGCTTGACTCATAAATATCGTCACTTCGTCATCATTCATGTCACATTGCTTGTGATGATTTTATGGTACTTTGTCACCATGTTTTCAATGTAATGTTGGATTTGCGTATCACCATCTAGTTATGTTTGAATTTCAAATATTCCATATTGTTGTCATGTCATGTTATTTTCTTGTCATGCTGAATTTCAATGTTTGAATTTTGAATTTGTATATCACCATCTCGTTATGTCTGAAGTTCAAATTTTTGTTGCCATGTCATGTCATTTCTAATTTTTTCTATATTCCAAATTTTCCATATCGTTGCTATGCCGTAAATTTATAATTATGTATGAACTCCAAATTTGTCATGTTATATCCATGTCATGTCATTTTCTCAATCATGTTTGAATTTTGAATTTGCCGTGTTGTAGTCATGCCGGGCCATTTTTTGAAATAATGGTTGAAATTTGCACCGCAATTGACATTTGCATACACACTTTTGCACATAGATGGAAACACGCTGCCATATACGAGAAAACGGCCTCATTAATCAATAATAACGTCGTATAAGTGCTTTTGTGACATTTTGAATTTTGAAACAAAACGTTACACATCCTTAGGAAATTAGTTGATGAATGTTTTAAAGATTAACGAATTAACCAGAAATAGAGTTGCGCTATCGAAAGGGCGTCGTGGGATGCTACCAGTCTCATGGGTAACCGAACATCAGGAACTAAGATCTTGGTTTTTCGTCTGACCTTTTCTTTCATACATGCACCTACGTAATTGACTTTCTCATCACCGTACAAGCCCTTTAGGTGTCTACTTGGCCTAGGTTTACTTAAATTGATTAGTGACGACTCTAATCTAGTTATTTATGATCACGATCGTGTCGACACCCCGTATGATACCGAAACTTAGGATTTAGGAAGATTCTATTGATCGAGGCGCCTACTAACTAGCAAGCCATCGATCTGCCAAGTGGATAAAAGCCTATTGGCGCGTTGCTAGTCGTAATTACACAACGTACTTTGAGAATTCGAATCCTTTGGCGGCTGGCCAAAAGAATGCCTCAATAACAACAAGGTCAAATTGCAAATAATAGATACTTATTATGTATTTTGAAATTGTTATTAATATAAAAAATGATCAATAAAAAATATTGTTACTAATCTAATTTTAAACACCAGTTAACTGTTTTAAATATACATAATGAGTAATCAATTCTTGTCATTGACCTTTTAATTATTGAGGCATTTTCCAGTACTTAATTTGTGTCTTTTCTTTTTCCGAAGGTCTATACTCGTGGCCATCAAATCTTAAAGGAACTTTATTGTCTGATATTACTTTGATATTTACTTTGTCTATTATTTTTTTTTAGTTATTTATTTTTCTCCATTTTCGATACTTTTTCATTTTTTTACAGCAATTGAGGGTAGAAGGGAAATTTCCTGTAAAAAGTGAGATGATATATAATTTTACCTTTTAAATATGCATTGCACATGCTAAGGTATAAAACTAATGGAGAGTTCACTACAGTGACAAAATGAAAATTGTAGGGTATCGTGTAGCGGTTGAAAGTTTGGAGCGCACGTATACTATATCCCAAAAGTTCTGAGGCTTATGTAATTTCTGCTAAATAGAATGAAATAGACAAAAAATAGTAACGTGTTCACTTATCTGAACTGAGGAAAAAACATTGCAAATCGACAAGGTCAATGGATAATCACAAACTATCCCAACATTTGTAATCATATACCTAACACGAGATGAATAACTTTTGTATGCATTCGGAACATTTGAACCCCCCTCATCTTGATCATTGAACAGTGTGGGCTTCACGTGGGACTTGCATGAATCGATAACGTTAGTACGGAGTGGGATCACATGCATCCGGTGCATGCGATACTTGCTCACATGAGAGAGAGAGAGAGAGAGAGAGAGAGAGAGAGAGAGAGAGAGAGAGAGAGAGAGAGAGAGAGAGAGAGAGAGGTGGGGCCAGGAGAAGGGGTGAGCATAGGTTAATCATGCATTATGTTGGCAAATTGACCAACCAAATCGTGGGTGCACCACTTATGATTCTTATTGGTGCCGCCATCACCAAAATCAAAATTCACCCGCAACCACAGAAAGACTTGATTCCCGAAAGCGACGGATGGGCATGGCTATTGAGAGAGAAACTTGGCTTTAGGAATTCTTCATAAGTCCAACCTGATCTTATGCCTAACGTCAACTCCACTACATTGTATATATATCAGGCATAAAGTTCAGGTATACTAAGATCGATTTCTACAATGAGTTTGTTGTCTATACAGTGATGTGGTTGAATTCCCATTGGAATCTCTAGTATAATCATCTTATTTAGATAAGCACTAGCAGGTAATTTGCTCGTGCTTTATATTGCTAAATCGAATTTGAGCCCCTATCGAGGGGATCACTTTCATTGTTGGAGAAAACCGAGATGGGATCCACTTTCGCCCACAGCTCAGCAAGACGAGATCTTAGTCACCTGTTGAGGAGATCCGGGCTCATATGAACGGTCGAGATCCCGATACGTGGATGGGCGCGTTATGTTCGAATTACGTGTATAGAATATGATATAATTTCTCTCCTAGGCCCTCTCTTTTTTCTCCCCTAGACTTTTTTTTTTTTGGGGTCAAATTCTCCCCTAGACTTTAGTAGGGAGAATTTGGAAAAATTGGACCGTGTGGGGAGAATAAAAAGGACACATTGAAAAGGGGGTGGCCACATGATGTGATGTCCAATGTTTTTCAAAAAGAAGAAAAATCAGAGTCGTTGTCGTTTGGTGCACGTACTAAGAGATTCATGCATGGTTTCGGAAAGAAGCAACATCAGAAGCTTATTATTGACCCATGCTCTTTTCATCATCTTCCCACTCTTCGTCCTCGCTTTGCCCATCTGAATCTACCGGAACGTGCAGGTCACGCATTAGCCGGAATCTACGGGACGGGGCGGGGACAGTGTAATAGCAAGAAAATGATTTTTGAACTTTAATCTAACGTGCAATATTTAAACTTTTGATTCGTTCAATGTGATCGCTGAACTTTTGTTCAATGTTCAATGCTTGGACTTTTGAATATTTTCATGTGTTTTAGGAACTACGAACATTCATTAATAGTTCAAGGATCACATTAGATAAAATAAAATCTAGAGACAACGTTGTATATTGAGTTAAATTACATGATTTACATTTACACAGATTAAAAGTTCAGAGGCAATATTGCTTATTGGATTAAAGTTCAAAGAGCATTACCATTGCCCTTTTTAATAGCCGTTGCATTCCCAAGTTAGTATTTTGAACCCCTCTCTCTTTTTCTCTCTCTCTCTCTCTCTCTCTCTCTCTCTACAATAAAAGATGACAATCTCAATTTGGTCCAAGAGTTCATATCTAATTCCCTGAAATGTGATTTGCATATGTTTCTTTTAAAAACTTGCAAGCAGTAATTTATTTTTCTTCAATTTGAAACGTTGCTGATAACATCTTTTTGCCAAAATGGCAATCTAGAAAGGACCCATGGTCACTACAAAATGCATAAGAAGCAAGGGCATGAAAAGGGACTACTATGTTACATTTCTAATGCTGACTGAACCTTCTTTCGTGTGTAAGACAGCTTTTATATGTTGAAAATCTTGGTAGTAATTAAGGAGGAAGGATAAGTTATTGACATCGAGGCATTACATCTTGGAGTGAAGCCTCATCCATATTTCATAGCAGCGTTTTGCTTGGCTGCAACAGTACTCTCCGAAGCTCGTTGGCCATTCCGTGCAAGAGTACCGGTTTCCTGATAACTCCGTTGATTCCGACCTGCAAACATCGATCCCATACATCATCGTCGCCGCTAGTGGTCAAGGCGACGATCACCGGCCAATTGGTACTGCTGCGGAACTGGCGGATCTTATTCGCCACTTCAAACCCGTCCAAGCCGGGCATGTGAAGATCCAAAAGGACGATCTGGAAAGATGATCCAGAGGGGTGGAGAGCGCTGAGGCACTCGACTCCCGAAGAGACGGTGGACACCTTGCAGCCTAGCTTCTCGAGAAGCTTCCGGGTGACGGCCTTGTTCACATCGTCAGAGTCTACGAGCAATACTTTTAAGCCTGCAAAGAGTGAGTTAGAGTGTGGATAATCTGGAGATGGCCCCGATTCGGTAATGGCCGTTGAGATGGACTCTCGGAGTTGGAACCGGAGGACAAGCGTCATGCTCTGAGCGAAGCCCTGAGGGTTCGGGACTACCCAGATGTTACCTTGCATCAACTGTCGATCAGGACAAACAAGTTCAGTTAACAATCTAGTATCAATAAAAGAGGTAAAAAGGAAAAGAGAAGGCGAGGAAAACATTATAAAGCAATATTGACAGGCACATTGCGATATGTCTACTGTCTAGCAAATCGAAACATGTTTCAATCCGAAATTCTTCGAAAAGAAAGGTCATACACTAGTAACGAAAGGCACTAACAGTTCTTACACGAATTTTTTATAGTAATCAGATTAAAGAGCAATGTAAAAAGAAGAAACCATTGCCAGTTTGTCCAGTTCGAAGCAGCAGCTAGAATTGGGAAGATGCTATTGTCCAGGAGTAGTCAAATGCAAGTCTACACAGTGACTTAATCAGATTAGAGGGGATTCTTTTCCAAGCATGCATCATCAGTAAGTAGAAAACATTAAGCGAATTAACAGATGCCAATTGAAACAAGACTATCTGACAGTCTCCAAAGGAGGCATATACTAATGAGTCTGCTAGTGTCCATACACTGAGGCAGATATAATTACAAGTAACTGACATCTTGCATCTGCAATCCACATCTAAAACTAATTTTCATTATTTTTCGACATAGGCATGCAAGAAAGTCACAAGTACACAATGGACATACATAGCCACACTCAGGAAATAAGTCTACGGAAGTCGGTGAAAATGAAAGAAGGAAAAAAGAAGAAGAAAACTCAGTACCTGTACTAGCCTTTTGCAGATGCTGAAGCTCAAGCCCTCCTCGACCCCATCACTGTTGTATTTCCGACCTCCAAGCTGTACCGTCGAAACTGACCTCTCCAACAATGAGCTGTCGTCTCTTATTCCAACTTCAAATTTGATACGCACACATCTATCAGATGATTCAGGCCTCCAGGACGCCCAACCTCGATCGTACCTTCCCTGACTTCCACTGGCTTTCTCACGAAGAATTCGAAGAGTTACTAATCCTCCTTGATTACTGTCATTCAGCAAGTTACCAATCATATGCAGAATTACCTGAAAAACCCTCCTTTCATCGCCCATTACGTTGTTCGGCAAGGACTTATCGACATCCAATTCGAAACCGAACCCCTTGTAGATACACAAGCACTTGGCCAAGCAAGCTGCTTCTCTTATCATGTTGTGCATAGAAAACGGTCTTACTTCCAATGGAAATCTCCCGCTATTCTTAGTCGACATGTCCACCACATCATTTATCAAATTTGCTAAGACAGTACTGGTTCTTGCCATAGCGTCTCCAATAATTCTTTGGTCCGCATTCAAACTCTCATCCTGCATAACCGACAGCAAGCCTGTGATTGTGTGCATAGGCCTCTTTAACCCATCGTTCATGACCTTTTGGAATGAGCTTCGGGCCTGACTTGCCATCATAGCGTTCCTCCTTGCCTGCTGTAGAGCCCGGTTTTGCTCCTCCAGTTTCTCTCTCATTAGCTGAGACTCTTCAAGGATAGCTGCGTGTGAGAGAGCCACTGCCACCTGATCGGCCACCACCTTGATAATCTCGAGTTCTTGATTGCTCCAAGTTCGTGGCTCTCCACCAGGAAGGACCAAGACCAGTATCGCATAACATGCTGGAAGGAGTTCAGGTGTCCCTCCCTTGAAGTTGGAGACACGAAGCATCGGCATCCGAATTGCGGCTACTGGGCCGGACTCCCCCGGCCCTACACTACTTGCAGTTGCAAGTGCAGAGTCAGGGCTCAAAGTCTTCACCTGATCGCTCTTCTTAATTGAAACAACATCTGGATCAGTTATCGGAATAGGGATGTGATAGGTTCCTGAGTAATTCCTTCCCCTCAACTCATGCGTCAAGTTCATCTCGGATTTACCATTGTTAGGCATCCAAACTGCGCAGTTCTGCAACCCCAGTGTCTTGGATAGCTCGACCAGGGTCGTGTACAAAATAGTATGCCTATCGAGCGATTTGCGAATCTCTTGTGTGAGCATCCGCACATGCAAACTGGCTTCTCTCTGTTTCATTATGAGCCCAACCTCTTGCCCCAAATCCCAAGCCTTCTTCTTCAACATGAACTCTCTCACCTTCACTTTGAGAAGCAGAGGAATAAGGGTGATGAGCGTTATCGCTGTGGCACACGAGACGAGAGCAGTTAAAATCTTGAACACGGTGAGCGCGAGCATGAGTTGGAAGGGATGGTGGGCATAAGTCCACCCATTGAGCAGATGGGTCAGTCCGCACAGAACAATGAAGGCAATGAATTGAAAGAGGACCCATTTGAACGGGACGTTCGAGCAGCTAACAAAGTACAGCAATTCAATCGGGATCGAAAAGTAGGCCACGGCAATCAAGAAGTCGCTCACTCTCTGGCACTCCAAAATGCTTTCGACGCTCCACAAACTTCCCTCGTCATCGCAATTGCATCGCGGGAATCCATTCTCAGCCACGGAAACGGTAATGAGCAGCGAAGAGATCAAGAGCCCGGGAGCTAATTTCTTTAACATTGCATTGAAACAGAGCGGTGAGTTCAATCCATTACACGCGAAACTTTTCAAGAGCAGGAACCATCTGAAAATCTCCACGACATCACGGCGAGCTCACTTGCAGTCCCAGAAGACTTCTCCAGACCGTGATCTTCGGCATCCGTTAACCTACGAAATATCAGAACCCTACAAAATTTTAGTGCTTGCAACATCTAACCTTTATAGAGAGACTGAACTTAGAATCTAACGCACCAAACAGAAAACAAATTAAAAAATCTCAAAAGTCACGACCTTTATCTTTCTTCTACAATGACTTACTATGCGGGAACACCTCAAATTCTGGCACAGATGCATTGCATCGCCAAGTAGATAAACCATAATCTAATCAGAAACAAACAGTGACGGGGAGATTTCTTCCGCTAAAATAATACCCCCCCACATTAGCAACAAAACAAAGCGACCCTCCGAAGTCACGACCGGAAACAACCCCCGAAGAAACAGTAAAAATCTGAATAAATTAATGGTGGTGGCCAGGCCAGACCAGAATAAAAAGAAACAGAACCCACCAATGGAAACGCACAAGAAATCTCCAAGGAGGACAAAAACCCCCCCGGAACGCAAGCAGAGTGGGAGAAGAGAGAGAGAGAGAGAGAGAGAGAGAGAGACACTGTACCGGCGAAATCTACCAAGAAATTGCCGAGCCCAGATTTCGAACGAAGCTCAGCTGTGAGTCCAGATCCCTCACATGCAAAGAAGAGAGCTCTGCCTCTCTCTCTCTCTCTCTCTCTCTCTCGAACGCAGCTCCGAGTACATCACTCAATCCCCACATCATGTACTTTACACAAATAGTTATATGGTACCGATATCATTTCGCTCCGTCGAAAGCAACAAGACCAATCTGGGTACGGCTACAGACCCCCTCCCCAACCCAACAGCGACGAATCCCAAGAACAATCGGAGAGAAGAAGAAAAAGAAAAAAGAAAGTGGGGGTGGGGGAGTAAAAATTGGGTTTCCAGATGCGCCCGGCGCGCGTTCAAACCGGCCACCTCGCGCCGCGTAAGCCGCCGGCACGACGCCGAAGAACAAGAAATACTACTACGGAAGAAGAAGGAGAAGGAGGAGAAGGAGGAGGAGGAGGAGGAGGAGGAGAGCAAGGATCGCTTCTTGCTCTCTTTTCCTGGACCCTTTCCTTGTCTTTCCGCAAGAAGAAAGACGACTCCCAGAAAAGACTTTCGGTTTTCGTGCAACTCAGAGGGCTCGATTCGGACGCAACCAGAAGGAAGGAATGCAGGCCCCGAAAGCAGCCCCTTCCTCCGCCTGGTGCATGCGGCTGGTGGTGCTTCGTGGTGCTTTGTGCTGGTGCTGCTCTGTGCTTGTATTTCAAGATCAAGATCAAGAGAGAGAAAGAGAGAGAGAGAGAAAGGGAGGGGGGGGAGGAGGTTTTTCAAAGCGCCGTTTGTTTTTCGGGGGAAGAGGGGGGGGGAGGGAGAAATGGGGGAATGGAAATGGAAAGACAAGTGGAAAGTGAAGGGAGGGGGGGCGGATGGTGGGGCCCGTGGCTTCCCCCATGAGGAGTATTTGGACGCTCTTTTGGAACCCCCAGGCTCCTTCCTCGGCAGGCGGACCCCACGTTTTTCTTTTGTATTTTCTTTATTCTACTGACTCTCTCTCTCTCTCTCTCTCTTTAATATGAGAAGGATACGTCTACGTTTCTCTCTTTTTTTTTTTTTTTCTTTTTGCTTTTGTTCTTTCTCCCTTTGCCCTTTTCGCCTTCCTAAGTTTTTCTGGAAATTTCCGACGCTTAGGGCGCGAGTGATAACTATCGTGTCCCGAAAATAGATTTCCGGCAGTTCCCTAGACGAGTTTATGGACAGAGATACGCGTTTGATAACGATACAGAATTTCTTCTTGCTATGCTCTTTTTCCATTTCATCGACGGGCGTCGGCGGGCGACCGGCGAGGGCCGGCGGTCGGTGGGCGACCATGGGGGTGTGCGGCGGCCGGCGGGGGGCGACGGTTGGCGGGCAGCCATGAGGGTTGGCGGCGGCCGACGGGGGTGGTGGCTGGAGGCGGCCACATAGACGTATTTCTCTTCTTCTTTTTTTTTTTTCAGAAATTGAAAAGTAGAAAATTTTACTTCGCATTTTTGTTTCAAACCTATTTCTAAACTAAAAATTTATTTCAAAAATAGAAAAATAAAATTATTTTACCAAACGAATTGTTATTTCAAATTTATTTATGAAAATAGAAAAATAGAAAAAACAGAAAAACGTAATGATTATCATGCATGCCTTTAATGCATTGAAAATGAAAATGTTTTCTTATTAGCTTGAAGTGGTTTTCATTCATGACTTTCGATTGGTGGGAGAGTCGATTCCTGAACTCTTCGGTAAGGTCTCAATGGCTTTGACCCGATTAACAAGAGCTTTATTTTACTCATTTTTTTTTATCTGTATCATTTTAGAAAAGATGCACTAAAATATGAAACCCATCAACTTTTCGTTACGATCCAGTTATAGATATAACATATCAAACTTCAAACATGAGTAAAAATGAAATATAGCTATTAGGTGCGTGTGCTGCTGATGAAGCAATAACGATGATTATGAACAAGTAATGCCAATAGTAAAGAGATAGAAGATAGCATATCGAGATTTACGTGATTTGACTTTATCCTCGAGCCTACGTCTACTCTCAGCATTAATAGTCGTAAAAAGGCGAGAATCCACTAATAATCTTCCAAGCAAATTGCAATTAGCAAGTGTTGTTCCTATCAACTGATAGATTACACAATTAAGACACAACCATTGCTCTTATAAATGTACGCTTGACTTTATCATGATGACAACTCAGTAGCACCTCACGGAGATATTATCAGTAACACACAGTCACTATCAACAAAAAACAGAGCATAGAAGAACACTCGAAGCACCAGACTAGTTTTGTTCGTTTCTACCCAACCTTACATTCCTCTTGGATTGAATATATAGGCATTCATCTTCAAATGACCGTTCTCCATTCAAATCCTCAAGTAGCCGTTTGTTCTACTCACTCAGAATCATTATAACAGCTCTTTGACATCGGCAACGTCTCTTTGACAATGGTAGTTTCTCAAAACAGTGTCAGTGTACTTTTGTAAGAGTATGTCCCATGTTCAATAATGCCAAAACTGCTCCCGATCAATTCTGGTATTCTTTTTCGAATTCCAAGACTGAAGATAACCGTTAGACGCCATATTGAGATTGGAAAGAGGATGTCATGCATTTTCCATTTCTCTGATATCGGTAGTTGCTTCTACTAACAATTTGCTGCTCTTGATAATGATTTGTTGCATATGATAACGATAAGATTTTTAGGTCCTTCTAAGCATATTGACAATTGCGACTCTACCAAGCTGTTCATTTTCATGGTTCTTCCAAGCTTAACCGCTTAACCAAACATCCTTGTTCTAGGCAAGCTTTTTCACTATCATGGTCCTTTGAAACTTCACCAAACATTATCGTTCTAGGCTTGTTCATCATCGCCAAGGTCCATCCAACCGTTCGCCAATATCCTTATTCTTCTTGACCTGTTCACTATCGATCAAAGTCCTTCTAGATTGTTCACCTTTCAGAGATCTTTCTAGCTCACATACATCTTGACGCCAAATACCTTGTTTACCCTTTATATTGGTAGAGATCCCTTGAAATCAGCATAACACTCTTAACAGTGGCAAAGCACTCCTTATATTAGAATCACTTGGTGCTAATTATGACATCATTTACATATTGGCTTGTGCATATATCACCTAGTACTATTTAACCAATACACACATGAATAGTTTTTGATTATTTTGTCATATTCAAAATAACATAGGGGATTTTCCCAACAATGACGATCGAGATCTAACTTGAGTAAGCGAAATCTTGACGAGCAAGATCTTGACAGGAAAGATCTCATGGCAATGACCTTGACAAGCAAGTGAGCTAGATTTTGACTCAGCCATGTCACTTGGGGTGGTACCACCTCGGTGGTTTGTCGCATGAGATCTCGTGACACTGGTGATTGATGCAGCTGGGTGGTGTCATTCAGGGTCTCAAAGGTTGGAGAGGGTCTACTTGCTTTTATTATTTTCTACTCTTCTTTCAAATTGATTTGTAACAAATACTTTACAAGATATTTGTCACACATCATTTTGCTTTCACTAAAAACCCTTCTTGTTAAGCTCTTTTGCTTAAATGCAAAGTCTTAAAGCCAAAATATTGCCAAACTCACCTATCAGGTACCACGTGTATGGCACCTTGTAGAAAGATATAGTGCGCCGGCTAAATATTTAAGTAAATACATATTTATTGACCTATTAATGATTTTGTTTTTACTTCAAGTGTCAAAAGTTGTCGAGATTATGCTGTTATTAGACATTAACATGTATTGTATTACCAATGCGTTTGGGTTTTATGTTCAATGTTGAAGGTGTTAATATTTAAAATTTGTAGCATTTTTTATTTAATAATATTTTGAAAAGCACAAGGGACTACATGGTACCCTAAACCTGTGAAATCAACAAGATTGAGATTCCAAAGAATTCCCAATACCTTTTATAAAGTAGGTTCTAAATTCCAAAAACTCCGAACAAGTGCTTATATAGTAGGTTTCGGAAGAGAAAATAACCTTTCCACCCTAAAGAAAGAATCCTCAATGGCAATTAATCATCATCACGTCCATTTATCATAACTACACAAAATTATAACAAATTTACCATCAATGGATGAGATTTACTCTCGTTTAATATGTCAGTTTTCATCTTTGAATTAGATTAATGTATATGATGAACTCCCAAATAGATTCTATAAGTAGAGTTACAGTGGGATGACGAATCATAAGAAGTCATATAATGATTAGAGGCGTGAGGAATTCTCAGCTTTAGAAATGGATGCCGTTGGTTCAAATCTCATCAATTGTACGCAAATGGCTTTGGATCAAGGTAACCTACAAGATGCAAAGCTAGACTTAACTCGTCTATGGGCTTATATGAAATTCG